GCCGCCGAGGGGCCGGTTCTCTGCACTTCCGCGGGGACAGCGAAGCCACAGCCTCTCCCAGCCAGAGCAATGCCTCCCTGCCGCTCGGGAAGGAATGGGGCCAGGTCCCGAGTGCTGCCACCCCCTTGCTCGAGGGGGCCAGCGGGGCCAGTACCTTGCGGATGTCCGTCTTGGCCTGCAGGCCCCAGCCGCGGGCCAGCGTGCGGAAGATCTGCACCTCGGGGTACTGCCGCTTGGAGAAGCACTGGTTCTGGCAGCGCTCGCCGGCCGGGCACACCAGCGGGTGGCACTCGTACAGCAGCATGCGGTTGATGCACTCCGAGTCCAGCCCGCAGGGGTTCTCGTCCGTGGGCTTGCAGTTGCAGCGCGGGACCTCGGACAGGTCAGCCGTGAAGATCTGCACCTTGCCCACGGGCCGGTTCACCTGGGGCACAGGTAGGCGCACAGGTCGGAAAGTGGCTGCGCAGCAGCTCCAGGCTTCAATAGCTCCACCGGGCAGGCAGCTCGACAGGGGCAGCGGCCCGACCTGTGCACACACTCGGGGCTTGCAGCCAGCCCCTGCGGAGACCCCGGGCAGGCACCCCCAGCGGTCCCTGGCCGCCCACTCATCGGATCGAAGCACCCAGGGGCCTGCAGCCCCAGCGCTGCACCCTCCCACCCACCCACCCCGCTCTTCCTGGGGGCTGCTCCCCGCCCTCACACCATCAGCTCCCGAGGACTTGGGCTTCCCGTGCCCAATGCGCGGAGGCCCCAGGCCTGGAGAGCCAGCTGCTGGAGCAGGCTCAACCCCTGTCATTTGCACAGCCAGGAAAGCCTGGCCCTGCCACCCCCTGCCAAGGGACCCCACGTTTGGGCTCCTGCACAGACCCCTGCGTCCCCGGGCTGACAGCATTGCCCAGTGACGCGGGAGGGAGGAAGAAGTCCCCGTGGGCCGGGGCCGGGTGCTGGCCAGCTTCCCTTGCAGGGGTCGCCCCTGCCTGGCCCTGCCCCGAACTGGCTGCCAGTGCTGTCCTGGCTAATGGAGCCTGTGGGGCTCGAACCTCCTGGAGCCCCTGACGGAGCAGCTGCGTGAAGGCAGGAGGAAGCAAGCAGGGGCGAAGCTGAGGCAGGGCTCGGATGCATCTGGGGCCTGAGACACCGTGTTCCCCATCCCTGAGGTCGTCCCCCACCAAGCACCAGCTGGCCCAGGAGCTGCTGGGCTCCAGCTCCATGCCTCAGGGTCCCCAGCCAAGAGGGGCCCGCTTAGCCTGAAGCCCCCTCCCGCATTGCCCTCTCCTGTGCTTTGCCTGTGTGGGGGTCACAGCCCCACACAGCAGAGTGCAGAGGCTCCGTAGCAGCCACAAAGCTGATGCACAGGGGCTGTCCGCATGCTCCTTTCTGCTCCCCGAGGCTGCAATACCCCAGCACCTGCAACTTCTGCTCCGGGGCCTCAGAGCCGTACAGCACTGCGCTCTCCCTGGCCAACCCACGTGGCAGGAGCCACCTGCACAGCAGAGCACCCCCATCCCCGGGCTGCCAGCCAGGCCAGCGCACCCTCGGCCAGGAGGTGCACCCCCACCTTGATGTGCTTGTAGGGAGGAGGCTTCTTGTCATTCTTCTTGTCTTCCTGCAGCTGCCTCAGCTCCTTCTGCGCCTTCAGCTCCTCGAACCGCGCGGCTGCCTCCTGCAGAGCTGGGCAGAGCAGCGGCTGCATCACTTGGAGCTCCAGCACCCGCGCAACACCTGCACCCCAGCCCCACAGGGAGCTGCCCAACAGCCCCTTCCCAGGGGTCTTGCTTGCTCCACCCACTAGGCCACTACCACACAAACCCTCCTGCACCAGCACTGCTGCATCACGTACCCCAGGAGGGCACGGGGCAGGAGGCTGGCCAAGGCAGCAAGGAGAAGGCCAGGGGTCCCCACAGAGCGGGGCAGGGCAGGGCAGGGCAGGGCAGGGCTGGAAGGGGAGAGACGGGCGTTACCTTTCTTGTAGATGCCGTCCACCCCCTTGCCCATTTTGTCCTTGCTGCTGGCATCGCCTTCCATGTAGGGGAAGACGCGAGCCTGGTGTGTCCACAGATAGTCCTTGGAGCCGAAAAAGAGCACTGGGAACTCCCCAATGTCGTGTTTCATCTTCTGGATGTTGGCTGGGATTGTGCGGGGATGGCAGATCTCAGCTGGCCACCACCTGTCCGAGGGAGGGACACAGACTTCTGGTGTGGTGGCCCTGGGCAGCCCATGACAGCCCCGCGCCGCAGCACGGGAAACCCGGTCAGGGAGGAAGGACTAGGAGGAAACAGTGCCCAGGACTGCCCGTGGGGCCCCAGACCAGACCCCCACTGCACCCCCGCCCTCCCAGCAACGTCAGCCGTGAGGGAAGAGCCCCGGAAAAGCATCGTCTGCCCACCTGTAGCGCCCAACTTTCACCCAGACCACCTCCTTGTAGTGCGGCTTCTTGCCCGCCTTGCAGTCGTTGCAGTACCAGCTGCCCTCAGGCATCTCGATGTTCAGACACTCACGGTGGAAGGCGGCTGGGCACGATTCACAGCACAGCAGGCTGCCCCCTGAGAGAGGGATGGCATGTCAGTGCCACCGAGCGCTGAGGCCAGCCCTGGGCATGCCAGAGGACACCACGCCCAGGGGAGCTGCGTGGCGAGCCTGGTGCCCCACCACGCGCCCAGCTCTGGCCTGCCCCAGGGAGGAGCGGCACCCCCAAGACTGGCTGCGGGTGTCTCCAGAAGCCAGCCCCAGGTCCAAGCCCGGCCCCCGGCCCACCTTCCGAGCAGACGAAGCACCAGCTGACGTTGACGTGCTCGTGGTTGCGGCAGCCCCGGCGCGCCGTGAAGTGGTTGGGGCAGATGATGCTGTTGGAGGCCAGGACCACGGAGCCGGCGGCAAGGCAGAAATCGTTGGAGTGGTAGGCCACTGGGCACCGCACACAGCGCATCAGGCGGCCTGCCCGGGGACACAGGGGCGTGAGTGGGGGCCACAGCAGCTGGGGGCTCAGCTCCCCAGCTCAGGCTCGGGCCGTGCTGCAGGGGAAGGAGCGCCCTCTGCAAACACAACCCTGACCCCCTGCACTGCTGCACTGCCCAGCAAACCCCGGTCACCCAGGGGGCCAGAACCCCTTTTGTCAGGGTGCTGACGCGAGGGCTCAGGGCCGAGGCAGCTCCTTGCCCTGCACAGAGGCTAGTGACCAGTGCAGGGATGCAAGGGTCACAGACACGCAAACCCAGCCCAGCACCTGCAACAACCAGCTCTCACCTCTCCCATGCCGGGTGGCTCTGACGCCACCCAGGAATGGGGGATGGAGGAGAAGCAGCAGGCCTAAGCCCCACAGGCTGTCCAGCTGGCCCCGCTGTCCCTGTGCAGAGGGCACAAGGACTGGGGTCCAGGATGCAGGGGTGAAGTGCTGCATGAGCCCCCGAGTGCTCTCCCCGCATCGTCCCGGGGCAGTGCAGTGCAGCGCAGTGCAGCTGCAAGCCGGCGTGGGCAGGCGCCAGGAACGTCTGAGCCCCGAGCCCATGCTCCACGATTCCTCTGGTTGCCACAGGGCAGCAGGGGCAACACTCAGAGGAAAAGGGCCAGCAGAAGCAGCTGGCACTAGTGGGGCTGTGTCAAACAGGGGTGGCAGGAGGCAGAGGAGGGGAGGGAAGTTGGGTGCCCCCACGCCCGTGGGTGCTGGCGGCGCCCCTACCTTTGGAGGCAGAGACGTTGGTGGGGTTAGCAGCGTAGCAGGTCATGCAGATGTGCAGCGAGCAGCGGAAGCCCTTGCTCTGCAGCACGGCGGGCGGGTACTTCTGGACGCAGGCCTCGTGGTAGTACTTCCCGCACAGAGGCAGCAGGCATCGCTTCACATCCTCCCCGCTGCTCTTGCACACGAAGCAGGTGTGGACGCCTGCAGCAACAACACACGACACGGCCCTGGTCACGTGGGCTCGTGGGGGAGAGGGCAGCCACGGCCCCTGCCGACTGCTGCACCCAGAGATGGGCACCCGGCTCTCTCCCTCCTGCAACAGCCGTGCTCTGCATCGTACCTGTGGAGCACTCGTTGCAGATGAACTTGCCCTTGGGCATCTCCGAGAGCCCCAGGCACTGCAGGTGGAAGGCGCCGCAGCACTGCGCCTCGCACAGCAGCAGCTCGCCTGGCTTCTCGCAGATCTGTAGGAAGGGAACATGGTTGGCACCAGCACAAGCTCACCCGGGCCAGGGGTCCCATGGATGCCTGAGAACTTGCCCCTCCCCAAGTCCCACAGTCAGGCAACGGCACGAAGACGCTGGCCCCACTGCCGTGGCCCTGGCCTCTACCTGGCAGACGTTCTCCTTGAGGGCGGCTCCCCCACCACGCTCCCCCTGCATCTTCTTGGACGATGGCACCCCATGGTCATTCTCCAAACCTTCCTCAATGCCCTCCTTGGGGCTCGTGGCAGCCCCGTGCACCGAAGTCTCTCCCTGGAGGAAAGAACCAGAGTTCGGCCCGTGAGCACCCCCTGGGCTGGGGCATGCACCGGTGGCAGCCGCTGCCCGGGTTGCGACTTGCCCCCAACACCAAGCAAAGCCTCCCTGAGGTGCCGGCTGCTTGGACTGCAGATGTGCTCCCTTTTGCCCTGGACGCAGCTTAGCTCGGGGCCAAAGCAGTGCTGGGACCCCCCACGACGGAGCTCACACGGACTCCCGGTCAATCATCCTGAAAACAACCACAGGTGCACCTACGGGCTGGAGCAGTGGGACTGGCCAAGGGACGGTGCCAGGGACAACAGCAGCAGTGCGGGGTCCCCGCCGGCTGCCTGTCTGGGGAGGGAGCTACTCTGTGTCCTGTGTGCTGCAGCCAGGGGTCCGTGATGACCGATGGTGCCTGGCTGCCACAGCCCAGGCCGCGATGCCTGGCGGCACAAGGAGCAGCGTCTGGGAAATGAGCCAGGAGGCCGAGGGCCATGGGGGGCACCTGCCACATCCCAGTACTGGGACAGCCAAAGCCAAGCTCCTCCCTGACCACGCTGTCCCAGGGACCCTGACCCTGCTGCGGTGCTAGGTGCATGCACGGAGGCAGGCAACTATTTTTGGGGGCAGAGGTGCAGCAGGGAGCAGCACGGTCAGCCATACGCCTGCTCCATGGCCCCGCGGAGCCGCCCCTGCTGCCCCAAGCCTTCGGGGCCTTAGGGCTGGCCAGGGCAGCAGGAGCACAAGGCAGGCTCTTGCCACCCCCCGAGTTACTCAGAGGGCCAGTCCCAACACGCCCTTCCGGCGCAGGGCTTTGCGAGGGGTCCTGCAGCAGGGACTTGGGGAGCCCTGGAGCAGATCTGGCCCTGCACTGTCCGGCTGAGGCGCATGGGGCTGGAGCAAGCCTGGGTCACTGCACAGCACAAGCACCCCGGTGAGGGCGGCCTCGCTGCCTTGTCCGGCGGCTGCTCCCGGTGCCGACGCCAAGGCCCTGGGTCGGGTGAGGCAGACAGAGCGCGGCGCCAGGAGGCTGAAGCACGTGACACACAGACACGGGGCCGGTCTCCTTTATTGAGCACGGGAGCTGGGCCCTGGCTCCAGCGGCGAGTGCCGAACCAAGACACTCCACTGCACACGGCTTGGGCGGCAGATGTGTTCGTGGCTCAGCCCCACTCCCGGGGTGGTGGTGAGTCTTGGGCAGATGCACGGCCCTGCCATCGGCGTCACGACGCTCACTGCCTTTGGCCCCACGGACTCCCTCAGGTAGGCCAGCTCCTGCAGCCTCCCACCTCTACCAGGGCCCATCCCCAGGGCCATCTTCCTGCCTGCTTCATTCCTGTCTTTCCAGGAGCCGAGCAGCGCCTCTCCAGCAGCTCCAGGCACCGAGCGCGCTGGTCCCATGCGCAGCCCGGCCTGGCTCAGGGGCCTGCTCCTCCTGCTAGCCACGGCCTCGGTCCAGCACGAGCCCTGTAACGAGAGGCAAGGGGCAGGCAGGATTAATCCATTTACTGGCTCCAGCGAACTCCAGAGCCAAGATGCACGACACTGGGGACAGGCCGCGCCTGCAGGGTCAAGGCACCAGCAAGCGGGTGTTTCCCCAGATCGGATGCGCACAGCCAGTCTGGTCTGCCAAGGACCTGGAGACGGTCCCCGGGAGGCTCCGTGCTGGGTGGCTGGGGGCAGAGGGTCCCGCCCGCTACAAGCCCACTAGCAAAGCTGATGCAGTGCAGCCCGCTGCAGGTCTGCATCTAGGTAGGAGCACGCCGTCTCTGTCAGGGGCAAAACGTACGGCTCTACAGCCGGTTTGAGCCTGGGAAGCCGTCCGGCTGGGGCCGACCCACAGCCCAGGATGTCGGAGCCCACAAGCCTGCTGGGGCCCCTGTGCAACAGTGCCATGCAGCCAGACAAAGGGGGCAGGGAAAGCAGGCAGTCCTCAGGCTCTATGGGCCCCCCCGTGTCCCATGCGTGTATAACAGCAGCCCCCTGCCCCACTACCCGAGAGCCGGGAGAAGTCACATACCTCATGATGCAGGCAGGCCCCTCTTGCCGCCTCCTGGCACTGTCCATGCTGCTGGCACGGCCTCAGGGGGACTCCAGGAACCTGGCTGTCCTTCGGGCTGGCCGCCTCCACCCCCGACCCAAACCTGGCCACAGACCCGCGTGCACCTTCCCCGCCAGGCTGAAGCCGTGCAGCTGCACCCGGGCTCCACGGACAGGTGAGCTCTCACCACCCAGGCTCCCTGGCCGGCTCCCAGCCCAGGCACCCGGTGCAGGCTCTGCCAGTGAGTTAGGCGCTTCCACACCAGAGCCTTCCCAGTCCAGTACGACCAGCTCCCAGTCTCCCCAGTCTGCCTGAGGCCAGCGGGCAGCACGTGCTCACCCAGCTGCTTGGGGACGTCTTGTGAGGCAGCTGGCACAGACGCTGCCGGGCAGCATGCTGTGAGCTGTGCCCAGTGTCCAGCAGAGGAGGCTGCCCTGAGGAGCATCCCTCTGCCCCCAGAGGCACTGGGGCACATCAAACTTTTGCGTCAAGTGTGCCCATCAGAGGGGTGCCCACCGGCTCCGGTGCATGCAGGTCCAGGAGGTGAGGGGGCACCCCCTTAGGGGTGGGGAAGCACCCAGCTCTTCCCTCCAGCTGGCAGGCAGGATTGTGATGGGGGATCCCAAGGTTCCCAGTCTCACTAGTGACCCTCAGTGCCCTCCACCACCGCCCTCCAGCTAGCCCAGACCGCGGGCTGCAGGTAGGACAGGGAGAACAGCAAGGCAGCAAGAAGCCCGGACTCCCGCAAACAGCTCTGGGACGTGAGGACACATCCGATCAGCCCAGTGAGCACAGCGGTGTCCCCATCCAGTGTGCCCATGCACGAGGCAGGGAGCTGAGCGGTGACACTGGCCCCCTGGAGCTCCAGCCAGCTGCTGGTCCAGAGCAACACCTTCGCCTGGGACCCAGCACACACAGCCCCGGTGGCAGGATGGGAGCCCCCAGCCTTCGGGAGAGTGAGGAGGCATGGGACTCTCAGGTTCGTGGCACCAGGCAGAGGTCGCCCTACCTCGGAGTGGGGAGCATCCCCCAGGCCATCTTCGCTCCGCTCCTTCTTGCCACGGGCCACAGACAAAGGGTGCCGCTGCCTCTTGCGCTTGCGCTGCTTCTCAGAGGGCTTCTCGGGAGCTGAGAGGAGGCAGAGGCAGGTCTCAGGACCGGTGCAGCCTGTCTCGGGCTGGCCACAGCTGCACCGCCCGGCCCAGCAACCCAGACCCATCCCGTGCCCGTGGCCATGGTCGTGGCCAGCACGGAGCCCGGGGAGAAGAGACGTGCTGTCTGTGGCACCACCGCGCTTGGAGAAGGACATGGTTATGCCTGGGGGTGCTGCTCTCTTGGCGAAGTGGCCATCCCAGGGCCACTGAGAGCACGTGCGGCAGCCCAGCCCTTCCCTCCACCCTAGCTCCGCATGGGGCGAGCAGATCCTGCTAGCATAGCAGCCCCGGGGCACGTGCTGAGCACAGCCCACGCCTGCTTCCCATGTCCCAGAGCCCCGCACCGCCTACCTTCGCCGTGGTCAGAGAAATGGGCAGGTGAATACAGCTCCGAGCTGTCACTCTCCGAGCGGCCGGCACCCTGGGGGCACACACCGGGTACGAGTTACCAGCTGCACTCGCCCCAGCACAGAGCTGCTGCGCCCCGAGCCAGTCTGCCCTCCTAGGAGCTACTGCTACCGGCCACGTCTCAGCCAGAGGGAAACCCGTTAGACGAGCACGGCTCAGCGT